TATCACACAAAAAATGGGAATAAACTGAATGCTAATAAAAGGTATCTTCACCATGTCCTTTTCACATAATTATCCCAAACATTTCCCTATGTGATAACAATTATAAAAACATTTATTGTTAGCAACAATGGGATAATTATATTATAATCTATATTAAAATGCTTCACTGTGTTGTGAGCGAAAAACTAGTGTAATTGTCCTATAAATGCTTGAAGCAGCTATATAACCACTTGTGGTCTACTTTATGTGACATACATATATGTAAATCAGTTGCACCGTCATATAATTACCCTCTAGTACATCACATACAGTGGAAGACTCCTGCTGTAACTGCTACTTACTTCTTCTGGAGAAAGGAGGACAATTTCCTCTGTTTTCGTATAAAGTGGATAATTTTCCTGTGGAAATAAATGAACAGAGCACCGCCAAACCCACACACCAATCTGTAAAAGGAAAGAAAAGGTACCATCGGACAATAATTTTGACCTGATGCATCATTTACCAATAGAAAACACACTCCCTATTATATAAACTGCACTGCAAGCATAGTTCTTATTTGTTAAGAACTGCTTTGAAATTATTCAAAACTTGTGATTCCTCATATAATTCGATCACAGTGACACAGTGTTAACATATCAAGCAAATGACATGTTCTACAGCTCAGAAACTGTAGGATCGGCAAAATTGAATGTCACAATAATAAAACAGACAAATGCATGATGAAAACTAAATGTGCAATCACCTCATCCTTCCTGTGAATTGCTTTCTTAAGTGACTGACCCTTTCCCAGTGACTTGCCCTTTTTACTAAATCACCCTCCCAGTGACTAGCCTTCAAATTGGCTCCACCTTCCCCAGCCACTCACCCTATGGTGCCAAATGCCAACAGCTCCACAGCATCAAATGGAAACTCTTGTCTTAGACTAGTCTTAAACAGGGCAGTGATGGTTTCTATGGAGGCAAAGAAAGATGGATGGTTAACATAATTCAATAAAAAGCAACAAGGTATCAGAATAATTTTATTTCCTCCAAGATCCCTATGACAGGCCTGTATGACAACCAGCTGAAGTGGTCAAATGAGTGTCTCTGGTGCTCCAGGTGGTCAAAGCTGGCCCCTAGTTTTAACTTAGCTCTAAACCAGTGATTAACTCAGGCAAAATTAAGCTCTTAACCTATCATTGTAATCAGTTAAAACAAGCAAAATTAACTGAAATCTGACATTTCAATATTTAATAACACTTAACTATGATGATTGACGAAAAAAATGGGAAATTCTGTTCTTTAGTTACCTTCTTCCTGCACCCATATTGCCAGTAAGCGGAATACTGCAGCCCCACACACAGCAGAGAAGAACCCTCTCCAGTAGTTCCTGACAGCAAAATATACTGATGTGACTTCTATACTAAATAACACTCCTGAAGAGAAAAAGACAAATTAACAATTTCACGAAGTTACTGAAGCATACAGCAACTCATTAACCAAGGTCAAAGTTGACTGAAATACTTTTTTTTAAGAGGACATATTTCAAATTAAGATGAGTCCAGATTTCTAAATATAAGACATATTTTTTTAGTGTTACAGCCCTGCCCTATATCTATTCTAAACATAAGTTTTAAACAGGGATAAGACTGCCATACAGTGAAAAAGTCATAAAATATAGCGTGGGACCTAGGGGGCTGCCTAGGCCAATGATATTTTTGGCTCCCTAAAAGTTCTAAATCTGCCCATAGTCAGAAAAAAATCTCTTCCTTTTTCAAATTTCTTATTGTTACAGCAGTAGATAGCAGCATACCTCCAATAGGAGCAGCAAAAGTACATGCCACCCCCACAGCACAGGCAGCAGCCAGCATCTCATAGTTACGGGATTCATTCTGGAAATACATGTCTAATGTAATAATAATATCTTTATAATATAAAATAAATTGTCATAATACTGTAAAGTTGTAACATAATCTTTCATTTTATTACTTGTGCATCTAAACAATTTCAACAAACTGACAGCACACTACAAATGCCATCCCCCTCAAAAAATAAATAAATAAATATTAATGTTAACACACTATACTTACATCATAAATCCCTCTGAAGGCCATTAACTTGGATAACAAAGTGGCCACAATACTGGCTACATGGACAAAGGGGCCCTGAAAAGGGATAATCAACCCACTTACATATCATAACAGTGACGTACAGCATTATATGGATTTTTAACCAGACATGCTGAAAACTATTCAGAACGGCAGTACATTTGGGCCGAAACTAATGAAAAATTTGCTGGACCGTATGCATTTTTGCCAGACCGAAAATTACCCTATTCATTTGAGACGGATACTATGATCAAAGGTAGCTTACTTTGTTTGTGAATGTGATTGGTTAGAAATGGAAGGGGAAAAAAGCTTTGGGTTTTATATAATTTTATTAGTGAAGTATGTCGAATGATGACTGTAAATTCAAAATTGCTGTTCTTAAAACTCTTGTCGGTCCTTTGGACTGACCATGTGCAATTTTTTTAACCAGTCCAGACAAATTTTGCCGGTCATGACCAATCGGACCATCAGTTTCAGGATGTCTGTTTAACAATAAACATGCATCATGGTATTAATTACTAAGTGTATGTAGTATAAGCAGGCTTCTACAGGATAAGCAGATCCAGAGATATTTTCTGACAGCCTTCCAAATTTTCTTTGTTGATCCATCCTCCATTTTAGACCGTCTTCCGACAGAAAAAAATTAGATACCTGTTAATGTAAATTTGAAAATCTTCCGTAAGACCCAGTAGACACCCTAAACATGCCCCTGCAATGGCTGATTCCTAAGATTTCAGGTCAGACACATCCAACTGACTGACCGCTAAGGAATACAAACCATGGAACTTTACGGAATACAAACCTCTTTCCCTATGGGAAGTCTACTGCCCAGTGAGGAACACAAGCCAACCACTTTCGACACCAAAGTCTTCAGTGTCAAGTATTCTTTTAGCACAACCCCGCGAAGAATAGTTTTCATTTCTGGAATCCCTGAACCTTTAAATATAAAAGTGTGTCATTATTAAATGGAATGCAGAGCTTAGGAAGACATGGGTAATTTTCGCCAAGAAATTAAGGTTATTTCAGCATCACGGGAAGCTGAATGACTGCACTGTTCTATTAAGTTAAGAAATACTTGGATTAGTACCTGGCAATACAAAATATAGTCTACCTAATAATACTTAAACTCTCAATTCAAAGATAATGCTCTAAATTTAATTTAAAATCCAAATGGTACGGATAAATATCTCAGTAATCCACGGATAGTGCACCTACCTATTGCATTGGGAGCAACAATATGTACAAACCCTGTGGAGAAGAGGATAAACGCTATGGGGTACAGAACCCAGGCAAAGAACTGCAAGGGCGGATACTCCCCAAGTTCTTTATACAACCAGATGTGAGCTGAAATAAGAAACAGTAGATGTATTTATATAATTATAATATATTTAACCCCCTCCGGGAGGGGTGTGACTGGGATAGAAATGAATACAGGAAAACTAAGTATCACATCTAAGACCGCATTCACAACGATTTGAGCCAGGCTTTACAAATCCTGGGACTAAATATGGCGGACGTACATGAAAGGAAAACGGCCTAATCTTTTAATAGTCTCTCTGCCTCTCACATGCCTCCCCACACGTCGTCCCTGCGGGGTGCAGTCATTAAATCTCAGCTCCGTTCGCCATGCGGAAGTTACCTGAGAAATATTAAGTGCACATGCTCATCAATTAAACTCGAGGTGAAGAAAACATGGTGGATGGAGGCGATCGAAGGAAAAAAGCTCTTCTGTTCTATTATTTTTCAAAAAGGAGACAAAAAAGAAATGAATTGGCCCCTGGGGGAAAAATGAATTGGCTATCTACGGAGATAATGTCACCAGAGATATGCATGGAGATATTCACGGAGATACCCAGCCCCAGTTGACGGAGGAGGAGGAAGGCAGAATTTTTGCGTATGCAGTCTCGTCAGAGGGTGCAGTTCATTCTAATGCTGATGTTTGCCTTGTTCCCTATGCCTGATCGAACGGGAAGGGGGGAGGGTGTTTTCACAATTTTGATCATGATTCAAAGCTGCTCTATGGGCCAATTCATTTCTTTTTCTCAGGTAGCTTCCACATGGCGAACGGAGCTGAGAGTTAATGACTGTACCCCGCAGGGACGACGTGTGGGGAGGCGTGTGAGAGGCAGAGAGACTATTAAAAGATTTTCCTTTCATGTACGTCTGCCATATTTAGTCCCAGGATTTGTAAAGCCTGGCTCAAATCATTGTGAATGCGGTCTAAGAGACCACTCCCAGAGACTATCGTATTAATTTTGGATCGAACTATCTCCAAGCTGAATAAACTACAGGACACCAGGTGTGCTAGAAAGTTAATTACCCTCTAGCTGATTCCGTAGGCATGACAGCTGCTTAAGTTGACAGCAATTTAGCATGAATCCCCTTGGAGATAGACCAATCCTGTTGTATCGATCCAAGCATGGGAACCCAGTCTAAGTCAATGCAAGTGAACTTACAGTATACTACTAGTATGGAGTAGGTAACAAAGTATTTGGTTTGTAGAGTTTTGACTGATACCCTGGGCAGCTTTATAATATTATATGGAGGCTTGCAAACAAAATGTTTTTCTCTCCTGCTGCTTTGCCCATTGTTTTCCTCCATGTGTCATTGCTAGTGAACAGACATGCTTATACAGACCAAACCATGTATTGAGGAGGGAAATATCAGTGGGTTTAAATAAAACAAGTTACTAGTAATGAAAAGCAACTTAAAAGTGGGCAATAAAATATAAACCCTCATTTTCTAGTCAAGATCTTGCATTATTCTAAATGTTCAAAGTCATTTTAAACCAACTCAGTTAATTCATGAAGATGAAGAGAAATTGAAGACAAATTTGTTCCTGGGTGAATCAATAAATGTGTGTACATTTCAAATTGAGAAAAATATCATATTACCAACAGTTTAACATAAAAGCAACTTAAAAGCGGACAAAAAATATAAACCCTCATTTTCTAGACAAGATCTCACATTATTCTACATTTTCAAAGTCATTTTAAACCAAGTTTAGAAGCGAACTAATGAAGATAAATAGAAATTGAAGAGTTTTGTTCCTTGGTGAATCAATAAATGTGTGTACATTTCAAACTGAGATCCAGGCCCCTGGTTTTACCATTAACTTACATCAACTGCTCTCCCAGACATTAACTGGCAAAGTTTAGAGAATAATTCTTACTCAATCCAGTCTAAGAAACCTCTAAAGTGTGATTAGCCTATCCCCAAGGAGCAATCAAGTCCATATATTCATCTAATATCTCATACACTTACACAACCATTCAATTTCTTCTGACAAAAAGAAAGAAAAAATCCATATTCCTATTTGCATTTTTATTGTTTATGGCTGTGTTTGTTTGTTAAGACCTACAATACTGGATTAACTATTCATATACCCATTCGCTTCAAGACAAATGCAGACAAGAATTGACATTTTTTGTTTATAGATGTGTTTTTTTACATAGCAACTTCAATTTCTTATAAACTATTCAAAACCCCACTCACTTCAACATGCAAACATTTACAGCCTTTGTGCAAGCACATGTAAATCACACACAAAAAAAAACAACTCATGTACAAAAATAAAAAACAGCGATGTGCTTTGGGAGAGTGGGGAACTGAAAACCGATGTAGTGTAATTATCCCCAAAAAAGTTTTTTTTTAAAGTTTAACCACCAGCGATGTGAAAAAAATCATAGCCCTGTAAAAAGCAAGCAAGTCAGTTCCAGTACAATCAGTTTCTTACCATGTTGGCACCTTTCTATGACCCAGTCCATGGCAAAGCTCAGTATCGCCATGACAACCCCAAGTAATGCCAAGAAAACCCAGTCTTCTCCAAGTCTCTGGATCACAGTGCTTCGGAACCATAGACAAAAACCTGAAAGATATACAAAATGTATGTGATATATTTCTGAAACCACTGTGCTTGTGACTGGTGTGTGTAAAAATGTATGTGATATATTTCTGAAACCACTGTGCTTGTGACTGGTGTGTGTAAAAATGTATGTGATATATTTCTCAAAACCACTGTGCCTGTGACTGGTATGTGTAAAAATGTATGTGATATATTTCTGAAACTACTGTGCTTGTGAATGGTGTGTGTAAAAATGTATGTGATATATTTCTGAAACCACCGTGCTTGTGACTGGTATGTGTAAAAATGTGTGTGAGAGACAAGGCACAAAACACACTGGCCAGTAAAGAAAAGTTTTAAAGCAAAAACTGGATTTCTTTATATATCTGGTAATGGTAGGAGTAACAGTACTGTTACTCTGGTAGTGAGAGTAATGTTATTGATATAAAACCCTGAGTTTCAGAGGCAGAGGAATGCTGATAATAAACTGACAGGTAAGTTGCCAGTAAAGTCTGAACCTCAGGGGGGTTAAGAGGCCAATGGACCCTCCTCCCCAGGGTGTGCGCCCCACTCTCATCATGATTTATTGAAATAGAAATAGACATGGCTGCTACAAATGCCAGAGGTTTTCCAAAGCTTGAAGGGAGCACTTCTTTTACAAATTTTCAGACAAAGAAAATCAAAAACAGCTGAAAAAGTCTACAAAGTTATGGATTATGACAAGATCAATTTGTTTGCTGAGCTGTCTACATTGCCACACCATAAAGAGCAATCTTTATGATATTTGCTGAAGATTTCCCACAAGCTTTGTCCTTCAACCCCAGGTATATCACAGCACAGAACACAAAGAACTATTGAACTATCTCACATGGTCATTTTAATGTGACTGAAATAGAGGACTTTATTTACAGAATCAATACTTAGAGAATATGATGTGTTTGGTTGCTTGTCTTTGAACGAACTGCTCTCTCTCTCTCTCTCTCTCTCTCTCATCCTCCATGCACAAAAACCCAAACCCTTTCATTCAAAAATCAAAGAAGCAAAATTAAATACCCTACCTCTACATTTGTGGAAGCATATATTATCAGTATAAATATAGAAGCCTTTGGGTGCCTGTAGCCTCTCCTCTGCCTTCCGCCTGTGTTCTTGTAGCCTCTTGATCCGGACGGCCTCGTGTTTGGCGTACTCCCCCAGGTCCTGGGTGTAGCGGCCATACATCTACAAGGAACAGTTGCCATTAAAATTTCCTTCATTTCATTCACCATTTTTCATACCAGTACAGCGAGTCTCAAGGTTGAGATGTGAGCTAGTTTATTCAATAAAAAGTTCCTACAGGTTACCAAGTCCAAGTGACTGGTTGCCCTTCTGGATGCCTTAAATTGTATATATGTAGTTACAAATTTTCCTAATGGGCACAATAAATGTCACCAGCAAGAATAGCTTGCTGTGAATTATGGGAAGATATTTACAGGTGGAAATGTACATCTTTTTTTTTTTTTTTTGGGGGGGGGGGAAGAACTCAAACCAATGTACAGCTTGTGGCATCCAGTGTCTACTTAGACATATTGATACATGTCTTTCTACTGTACATAAAGCTTAGATAATCATTTCTGAATGAACAAATATTAACAAAAGGCTATCAACTCTGGGCTCATTCAAACAGAAATTCTTAAACTAATAACAAAATAATTTAGATTTTATCTAAATTATCAGATTGCAAAAGTGTATGTATTAGACTGGATAGAACCCTGTCCCAGAGAGAGCCCAGGGTCTTGTTATTAAAGCATACTAACATAGGTAATACTGATACTTACAGCAACAGGCTGGACCCATCAGATATGACTGAATATTGCAAAGTGCACGTGACAAGTTCTGCTGATGTTACATTTCTTTCTGCCATGTCTTTCTTTTTTTTTTCTTCAATAGGCAAGTTTAATATGTCCAAGCAACAGCCCAGAGACCACTGCCTTACTATTAATTTTCATTTGATATTTTTATATTTCTTTAACAAATGTTGACCCATATTTGATTATAAATATAATGAAAAACAGTCCCACTTTAATCCAACTGTTGCTCCACGTCACCCAAGCCCTAATAATTTACTGACCAAGGCAGAAACCTTAGCCAGTAACAGAAAGACATTTTTACCAGGACAGTTTTAATAACATTGGTATTTAGCTTGGGGTGAGTGGCTAAAGCCAAAGTCTGAAAACAAAAGAAATCAAATAATTAAAAGAAAAAGAAAACCACAAACAGGTCTTACCAAAGATGAAACATATTCAAATATAGATGAAGAGTTCCTACGTATTCCTGATGACTTCAGGTCCCGTCCACCAGGGGGCATTAGTCTGTTAATACCCATGGTGCAGCCTGTGGGAGATTTCACAGATGGCAAAGATGGCGGTAGTGTAGAAAAAGAAGACTTTCTACTGTCTGGGTAAACAGGTTGTCCAGATAGCCACATATCAGGTGATGGTGACCGCGATGTTGGAGACATGGTACGTCTCAGCGGCGGTGCACACGGTAAAGACACCCTCCTCAGTGGTGAAAATGGTGTAAGTCCAACTGGTGATGGCGATGGAGATCTTGATGGTGCCGTGTTCATTTCACCACCATGCACCGTCACCAGTGGTGAATCCTCTGGTATATCAGGGATGTTATCACCCATACAGAGAAACGGGGACCCTGATCTTCTCCGTGTCAGAGGAACTATTTCTCGGGTAGGAGATCTACGAATACAGGTTGGTGAAAAGGGGTAATTTTCTCCACCAGATGGCAGTTTAGTCTGTAGTATCCCTCCCCCTGGGACTGAACAACTCTGTTTACTTGTACTCCCCTCAGATATTTCTCCTGTCATGACTGGATCTGTCTGGACTGGAGATTCAGCAGGGAAAGTTAAAGTTGGGGACAGCAATACTGGGGAGTTCACCAATCTCGGTGATTCTTTTTTGTCTTTATCTAACATAGACAATGTATCTTGTGGAATCTGCAGAGACAAATTTGTAACTCTTCTACTGTCTTTTGACCTTCCAGAGGAACCAAGTGATAAAAATGGTTTCTTTTTCTTGGGAGCAATCTTGGGCGGAGGGTAGAGGTGACAACCTGCCCCAGTTTCTGAGCAAGTGGGTGATACCCCACCACCTGATACCATATCATTACTAGTAGACACACAGTCTGCTGGCCTATATGCAGCCTTGGGAGACTTCGCCTCGGAGTGAACAGTGCTGTTATCTTCACTCAGTGTCTTATCACAAGAACTGCCGCTGTCTGCTGATATCCCTTGTTGCGAGACTTCTGCTTCATGTCGGGCCAACGGTTCGCCTGCCTCTTCCAGGACAGCCTCACTGTATGGTGGCGGAGAAGGCATGTTTTCTGGACACTCCTCCATTACAATGCTGTCAGTTGGTCTGATACTAACATTATGCAATTTGTTTCCATTATTTTCTTCTGCTAACTGCAGTGGTATACTCCTTCTATCATGAGTTTCGTATTCAGGAACTGTAATACACTCTATCACCAACAATACCCTGCTTGCCGCTAACTATTGTTTTATCATATGAAAGACAGAGTGTTTGTAAAATCTTTTATCTATGTTCTGTTTTCTGAAAACAAATAAGCAAAGTTTGTCCTCTTTTTCTCTCCTCCTATACCTACTACACTTCATAGTGCTAATGTTTTTCTTTCCCTGTCTTTTCCAGCTGTTGAAGCAAAGCCTTGGAAATCTTAATAAAAAGACTAATCACCACTTTCTACTGATCTAACTGCAGACTGCCATTGTCTTGCCAGGAACAGCCAGAGAAAGAGGCACTGCAATCCATGGCCTGTCTGTGATCAGTTGATGCAAGCAGCCAGTTCCAAGCTGGCCTTGGATGTTCTAGATATAGATTCTACTAAGTTGTAAGTCAGTAAATGTAGATGATCCCCCCATGGCACACTGACATTTTCATGGTATCCCTGCTGAACCATTAGTCTTGCTGTCATTGGTATGTATACCAGTATAAATAAGATGTTCAACTGTAGATTAATGATATCATCAACTTCGAGATCCTACAACACAATAACAATACAATAACTGTCACAGTTCTAAAGATTTCTCCATCAACACTGTGCATATTTAAATATTTCAATTACTGATAAGTTCAAAATCTTCATATATCGTCTTTGTATCATCTTTTCTAACGAAAATGACTATTAAAACAACTGTTACAGATCCCTGAACAAACTGTTCCAAAAAAGTCAGTGCTGTGTTTATCACCAGTAAAGCAATCTTTCAAGCAATCCTATACACCTAAATAACACCTCTACAGCATAATTTGTCTGACTGACAACTTCAACTGCAGCCCATATGTTGTTTACCAACACTGCAAATACACATCAGATACAAACTAACTCCAACAGGAAAACCAAGTTTAACTGTTAAAAACATCTTAACATTATCCATAAGTAAGGTTTATAAGAAACCGGGCAACATAATTTGTAGAGATATCAATCCCAGTCTATCAGCACTTCAGCCATACACAAAGCTCACTGGCAGACAACAGAACTCCCTATAGAACACTGACCATCAGGGCACTAACTACAACCAAGGGCTCACTCCCAATGGAACTATTGTTCTACATAGATCAATTCAACTCAATGGGGACTCTTGCTGAATGTGATCAGATTTCAAGATTAACACGCCTCTTCATAGCATTGAGTAGAACACAGAAAAGCTGGTGATTACTTTCCTATGTAGGAAACAAGAGGCAGCATTTAAAATCTGTTAACTGGATTGCACTCAGCAAGAGTCCCTGCAGAATTGGATTGATCTATGTAAAATGATAGCCTTATTGGGAATGTGTCCTAAGTTTTGAAGCAGCTGTACTGCACACATCTTTAAGAAAGTTTGGAATCCAATATCACAAATTTGTCTAACTCTTTGTAACATATTTCCGTCAATATCTGAAGCCTTTCATTATGGGAGATGTCTACTGGGTCTGACCAGACAAAACACTTTACGGACAGAGAAATCATTAGAACTCAGCTGTCACTTCTAAGCCATTCACCCAGCCAGGGTTTAGTGATTTGCATTTGATTGCAATAAACCAGATATTAGGAGGAGAAGTTTCCCAAGAGGATGCTGTTTTGAGAGTCAAATGTAATAAATCTATGATCCAGTCTTTAACTGTGACTGCCTCTCGGGATTGTCTTCAATTCTGACAACTTTTCACCTCTTCTTAGGGTTTGCAGGGGTGTGCATTCATTTAAAATACCACTATCAGCTACTAGTATTTAAAGATATTAAGTGTACACTCCTCGTTTAATTTATTAAGTGACAAAAGAGGAGACATATTCTATCTGCGCCACACATTATGGGACAATTTCTATGGGTGGCCAAAAGGGCAAAAATTCATGTCGTCGATTCAGTTATGTTTCGTCGATTCACTGCCTTCCCATCGATTCAGTTTCAAGTTTCAACGATCCTGTCATAAATTCATCATCTACTTTCGTCAATTCAATTGTCAAACATTTCTCATCTACGATGTATTAAAACCAATGCTGTCACTATTTTCGTCGATCGTGTAACTAATCTCGTCAATCGTGTAACTATTCTCGTCGATCGTCTCATCGATCGATCGCCAGAGGGCGCTGCAGTAGCAACACGTGCTTCTGTCTGTCAATCACGCGGTAATTTTTAACTCGGCCAGCCATGGTCAGAGTTGAAAACAACTAGAAAATAATGTCCCTACAACCGAATAGATTTTAATTATGAACAATTAAAATTGAAATTGTTGAGAAAATGTTCCTTTTTCACTAGCAATCATTTTGTTGTCTGCCATTTTGATAGTCATGTGATAGGCCAATGTACTACCGCAGCGCCCTCTGGTGATCGATCGATGAATGATGAGGTGACGTTACAGGATCGACGAGAACAGTTAGACGATTGACGAGAATAGTTTGACGATCTACGAGAATAGTTACACGATCGACGAAATTAGTGTGACGATCGATGAGAATAGTTACACGATCGACGAAAATAGTGACAGCATTGGTTTTAATACATCGTAGATGAGAAATGTTTGACAATTGAATTGATGAAAGTAGTTGTTGAATTTATGACAGGATCGTTGAAACTTGAAACTGAATCGATGGGAAGGCAGTGAATCGACGAAACATAACTGAATCGACGACATGAATATTTGCCCTTTTGGCCGCCCATAAATTTCTATAATGCTGTGTTACAACTGTGTCCACCATTTTAGTGACAAAAGTAAAGACATCCTGGCCTGCCATTACAACAAACTGACTTCAACCTTCACAATGCATCATCACAAGCTGCATTCTAGAATAGGACAAACCTGAACATAAATTCATAGTTAATTATAAATCATCGGTTTATTCCCAATGTAATCTACTGGAATCCCATAGATAACACACAGGTGACCCACCTAGACCCACAGGTAAACTACAGGTAACCCATAGGTGATCCACAGGTGACCCACTGGTAACCTACAGGTAACCCACTTTAGACCCACAGGTAACCCATAGGTAACCTATAGGTAACCCACAGGTAACCTACAGGTAACTCACTATAGACCCACAGGTAACCCATAGTTAACCTACAGGTAACCCACAGGTGACCCCATAGGTAACCTATAGGTAAGCCACTACAGACCCACAGGAAACCGACTACAAGAGACACAGATAACCTACAGTGACCCACAAGTAACCCACTGGTGACCCACTATAGACCCACAGGTAACCCGCTGAAGACCCATTGGAGACAGCCGTAAAGAAAGCCAGCCAGAAAGACTTTATATATATATATATATATATATATAAGTTTAAGTCATATTACAAAGCCACTGGAGAATCTGTTAACCCACTGGAGAATCAGGTAACCCACTGGAGAATCTGTTAACCCACTAGTAACCCACTGGAGAATCCATTAACCCACTGGAGAATCTGTTAACCCACTAGTGACCCACTGGTAACCCACTGGAGAATCCATTTAATTAACCCACTGGTAACCCACTGGAGAATCCATTTAATTAACCCACTGGTAACTCACTGGAGAATCAGGTAACCCACTGGTGACCCACTGAAGACCCACGGGTAACCCAAAGGTAACCCACTGGTGACCCACTGGAGAATGCCCTAAATACAACCAGAAAGACTATATACACGTACAAGTCAACATACAAAGCTTTGCTGTCTTGTGATGGAGTTTTGGGCAGTTTTACATAGCTTCAGATCGCAAGCTGTTTCATAAAGTCTTATAAAGTCTTCACACTGAAAGCCATCTTCTCACACATCTTACCTGAGCCGTTACCTGCCCCTACTACCACCACAGCAGTGAGTGAAGCAGGTTTTCATCAAGTCTCTTAGTAAACTAAAACACCCGCCACATGTTTGGCTACACCCAGATGGAAACACGCTTACGTCTAATAATAAATACCATTTCTTCTTTGCTTTTTTTACCTGGTTTCTTAATTCAATCCAACAGCACCGAGGGCTGAATTTTGTAAAATGATCCTTTCCAATATTTACAGGAGTTCTAATAAAATAATATGTGACAATATATTAGCCTACAGCTTTTGGCAAACTACCCTTAAGGGCAATCTAAGATATATTAGTTCAAGAATACTTTACAAAATCATGAAACCCTCCCATTGATTTTCTTCACACAAAATTTTGAGTTACCGTGTAGTTACCAAGAATAAGTCAATCAGTAAAGTTTGCTTACATCTATGAATTCAACCTGGAAAAGTTTTGTGCTTTTAACTGATAAATAATTTTCGAAAAAAAAAAAAAAAAGAAAAAAAAAAAAAGCATTACGATATGTTGACCAAAGTTAATTATTTTAAATCCCACCAAGCATTTCTTACTTATCTTTTCTACGTTAGAGACCTGATTCTATATATATGTATGTGAACTTAAAATATAAATTATATAATAAAATAAAGCTGCTTCCCATACCAAAATAAATAAGTATACCCAAATAATTAAATACCTTTCACTTTTCCATTACATTTACTTCTTATAACTGAAATGCCGCTCCATAGCAGTCAATCCTCCAGTGATAGCCATGCATTTCATCACAACATAAAATCCAGTTTTTTTCCTGCCAATGTTACCTAAAGTGTACAGTGCCTATATAGACAGTTTCACTTCAAAGTTATGTTCTTTACCAACATGTTTCTTCAGTTCAATGACTCCCCCCCCTCTAGTATAATATACTCTCAGCTGAGAGATGAGAGGGGGCAACTACTGCTTCCTTTCAAGTCGGGAGTCAGATGTGGCACTGGAGAGTTCTGCTTTGATGTAATCTGGAGATTCTGCCTCACAGTGATCCGTCTCTCTCTCTCTCTCTCTCTCTCTCTCTCTGTGATCTGAAGGTTTCTGTTA